AAAAAAAAAAAATACAGTGCTGAGGGGAACAGTGGACAAGACAGGAGAAGTCTGCTGTGCCATGAGTCACTTCCCTGGGTAGGGATTGAATTCATGCTGCAGTGGCTGTGGCTAGATTCATAGCACTGCACTTTAACCTATTGTGCCACCTGGGAGGGCCCTACATTTATTTTTAATAAAATTTTAAGAATGATTACTTTTGCTTTGTTAAATTGTCCCTTATCGTGTAACAACCAATTTTTTAAATTTATTCTTATTGAGTCCAAAATCTAACTTAAGGGCCTAAGGCTAGCTCATTCTGGAGAATTCAACCTATTTTTCTTTTTAAAAAACGCTTTCATGACCATTTTGTCCTTTATGGATCTTCCCCTAAGCTAGTTTTAGTCTCCCAACTCATCTCCTTGCTGACTGAAAGTAAATATAGGTCCATTTCATTGCTGCTATGCTTATGATTTAAGAGGGTAGTGAAAATAATGCATATGAAAAGGTCCAAATTAGTAAGTTTCTGAATTACCTTTGCTGAGTTAATGGGGGGGAAATGGAGATAAGAGTAGCTTTTATCTAAATTCCTCCCTCTCAGGTAAGTCAGCAGATACTTCGCTGATCTGCCTGTTCTGCTCCCTGCTCTGTCTCCGGTGAATCCTCTCACCCTCCGCATCTCTGGCCGGTACCCCAGTTCTGTATGAATAAATAAATGTTTAAAAACAAAAAAAAGTATTACAATTTAGCTTTACTGAGATCTGATGAACTTTGTAAGAACGCAGAAGATATTGAGAAGAAAAATCAGAAACTAGAACGATATAATTAAAAGCCCAATTTTAACATTTTTCACAACTAATGCTAAAACAGAAGGCAATGAATTAGTGATTTTTGTTGTCCGTTAATATAAAGGCAAATTGATTTCTCAGGTAAAGTAGATTTTTTCCTAATACAGGTCTGAATGAAATTTCTTACTTCTTGGGCCTCCAAGAAGGCCCAAGCATTAAGTCTCAGCACCATCTCCATAAGGGCTTAAGTTAGGTCCCCCGCCAGGGAGCTGACCCACATGGCACAGCAGACCTCTCCTGTCTCAACAGCTGCTCCTCTCATCAGACGATTTCAGTCAGTCCACCTGCCCTGCTTCCCACCCTGCATCTGGTAAATCCTCGCATGTCCTGCATCTCTGGCCTTCCATGCAAAAAATAAAATTTCTCACTGACTACTGAGTCTCAGTATCTTCCCCCAGTGGTAACAACAGGACTTTATTTAGCTATTTTAATGCTATAAAATGGCAAATTATCCCACATTACATTTGTTTTAATTCTTAAATACCTGAAAATTCAAGCTGGAGTAATTAAATTGCTGGCTAAAATTACTGGTGACATCCACATTGTAACAACATATAACAACACAACAGCTACAACTATAAAAGAAATCCTCAGCACTTTGAACATGGGCTTGCAGTAGGTACTTGGGCACACTGAGTTTCTTGGAAACAAAAATGTGTCAAATATTCCCTATCTGCTCTTGTGTATCTTATGCTTATTTTTATTGTTGCTGTGATGGCACTGAATTATTTACAGATCTCTTCCCTAAGGTATGAGTTCCACATCTGTGTTTTCTGTGTACCACACAAAATGTGCTCAATAAATATTCAATGAATAGATGAATCAACTCAAATGCTCATCAGAATACTAAAGGATTTAGTAGTAAAATAGCTACCAGAACCTACAACTCATAATAAAGAAAAAAATGATTTCGCGCATAAAATACTTCCCAGAGCACTAAAGCCTTTCATAGCTCTACTTTTTTCTATTTTTCTTTTTTCTTAGAACTTTTATAAGAGGGGGCTGCCCAGGAGAAAAGGGAGGTTCTGGGTTCCCCACTCCCCTTTCCCCTCAACATAGAGCCAAGCTGAAAGCAGCTGGTTAATCTTAGTTTTTACTCTTCTTCCAAACTTTTCTATGAGTCCCCCTACTTAAAGGTACTTTAAACTTGTGACAGACTTTTGGGTCTTGCTTTGGGCCAACCCTGTTTGGCTAAACATTTACCCATGAGAAGACAACAACTTCAAGTACTTAATTTAAAACTATATTCCTTTTTACCTGTAATCACACACTAATTAAAGTTCCTTTCCATAAAGGTTTTGTGTTTTATCTTAATATGAAAGGCAACAAAACCTATTTAATAGACAGGTTTGGGGGTTCTAAAGTGCCCCTCTCCCTGCCCTGTAACAAAACTACCTGGTCTTAAAGCATTTCTTATGCTCCCAATTCCATCCATTCCATAAAGGATTATTTGCTACAAAGGCTAATAACTCATCTTGGCTATTGGTGGTGTATATTCAGTCGTGTTGGTATAATTCCACTGAAACTTCTGATAACCTTTTAAAATGAACTACTTTATAGAAGAAAATCATTCTGGGGTGATTACATTTTGCTATCCTAGGCAACAGTCTCTAAACCATAATGAAAATAGGATGATTGAGTCATTCTAAAGACGTTATGTGTCATGGTTTTACAGTTGTAGTTGTAAGTTCTATTTCTGTCTCTCCTTTTCTAATGATTCTTCTCTAGCATTCACATTGCACACCAATGCACAGTATTTTCTAATTCTGTTATTTGGCTGTATTACCTATACTCTCCTTTGACATGCTACCTAATCAATGGGTGAAAACTTTTCCTTCCGCTTTCAAATCAGTCACATCCTGTATTCAATAAGCTTCTTTGCCCCTTGACACAGCTCAGCTATTTCCATCATGGATGGTTTCTCTGTACTTCTTCAGTTTTTCTACCTTCATTGTTCCAGACAAATGAAGCTGCCTGTGGTTTAAAGAGGAAGGAGGCCAGTGCCAGTAAGTCAATATGTTATTTTAAGGTCATCCTGGCCTCAGACACAAAGTTTTCTTTTCATTTAATTTTCAAAATACAGTACAAACATTTCTATCAGTGGCTCAGTTTCAACATCAGCAAAAAGTCCTGGAAAAGAGAAGCTGCAGACCAAGATATGAAAATATCTCAGTGAAAACTAAAACTTCCATACCATTTAGTAACAATGCACATAATATGCATAATTATTTCTTTTAGGCAATACGAAATTTTGCCCAAAACAAAAGTGATAAATATGATATTAATGATAAAAGCTCTCTTTAATATTTTCATTTTGTCTACTATCATAATTTTAGGAACTCACTTAATAAAAATAAGACCTTCCTAAGATATCAACTATTTCTATTGTGCAATACAAAAGATTTTAAGACTATGTATTCTTATATGCCTCAAGTTACAGTTTCACTCACACCAAAATAAGGTAAGAAACTTTGAAAAGCATCCAAATTCTTTTTGTATGGAATTTGATTAAAAGAATCCATGGCTAACACCACAGGATAAATTGATGAAAGAGAGCTAAAAATGCTCCCAAAGCCCAGGCTGTGTTTTTGTTTTTGTTTTTTTGCATATTTTCACATTAGCTGTAATTATGGAATCTGGACCTCTTCCTGATGAGGAAGTTTGTTTGAGGTAGAATGAAATGAAGGCAGGCAAGGATAATTGTGATTAATGAAAGGAAAGCAACATTTCAAACTATCAAACAGTTCATTTCCTGCTTCATGGTACGTTTAGCCAGGTCTTTAATTATGGAAAGATGGCTTGTCTGGAATCAGAGTGAACATGGGATGTAGAAAAATCAGTGTTACATAACCTAAAGAATCCAATTCCTTTTGGTCATCTAAAGGGGCATGGAATTTATTTTTGTTACAAAAAGAATTAGTTTTGTATTTTAGTAACGGAATTTTACCTATGAAGATAGTAGTAAAGGTTTGCATTTACTGAGCATCCTATTATGTGCCAATTGTTAAGCATTTCATGTAGACATTTAATGTCTCTAATAACTCTATGAGTTAAATATGATTATCATTATCCCTGTTTTATAGATAATGACCTCAAATAATTTACTCAAGCTCACTGAGGTTCTGTAACAGACATTCAAATGCCAGACATCAGTTAGTTTAAATCTCCATGCCAGACTGTCTCCTTACTTCTACAGAAAGAGGACTATGTCCAAATCATGTCAACTCTCATCTTCTGTGAGACTTTTTTCTCTCTTGCAGTTTATTTAAAATATATCTTGAAAGCATTAGATCATGGAAGAACCAGTGCCTCCAAAGGACAGTTTTGGCTTAAAAATTAGACTACTTCTTCAATACAACTATTATTTATAAGTTGTACTATTTCTAAAAATGAACATAGAAAGCATTTGAAACATATGAAAATCAGAACAAAATATTAAACCAAAAAATTGAAAGAACGGAACCAATTAGTTGGGGTGCCACTTGAAAGTATCTTATAATAAAAATAAATGTAAAATTTTCATTTAACAACACTAAAGAATGAGGTATATAAACGTTTTAATCACAGACTTTTACTGTATGCAATTAACTGTACTTCACAACTAGCATCTTACAAAAAAAAAAAAAAAAGACAGTACCACTTGCCTGTAAAAAGTACTGCAATTAAACAGAAAATTACATCAGCACACGAAACCACACATATCACAAGTCAGGGTCCACAGTTTTATTTTTTTCTTCAAATGCTATCATGATGACTTTGTATGATATTTTGTGTCCAAGTTAAGCTTCAACTTCATTTGTATTTCAGAAACCCCCTCAAGGTAGATAGATATTAAACAAATGGCTAATAGAAAGCAGGAAATAGACCCTATGAGAATCTAAGATGTACTGTGTGGTTTCTAGGTTGGATTTTTAAATACAACATAAAACACTGTATTCGTTGTAAACAAAAATGCAACATCTGTAGTCATAAAAATATTTTATTGGTAATTTTACATAATAGTGATTGGGCTGTAAATACTTTTTATTTCAGGATATTGATAAATGTAACTTGAACTGATATTTGTGTCTGAAAATAGGGCACTATGATTTTCATAAGAATTGTTCTATTTAATAACATGCCAACAGAACTGACTTATGATGAATTATTTTCCAGTTCTGTACAATGGTTTCCATTTTCTGTACTGAATAGATTCATACTTCTATGACCCTGGATCAGTTTGGGGCAAGGGAACAGTGATAAAACTATTATTAAGTTAAAGCTTTTCCAAAATTGCAGCTTTTAAAATATGGCAGGTTTCTTTTTCTTGCTTTTGCCAAATGCTTAAAATTATTTGAATTTTAAGGTTTCATATAATACAGAAAATACCAGTGTTCAATGACAACAACACTAAACCTAAATTATAAAGCTAAATAATCAATGTTTTATTGTTTACTAGTTTGCTAGTAAACATTACAATAAATGATGTCTTGAAAGATAAGCAATAACAAACAAACAGAAAAATCAGGTAAGACCAGAAATATAATTCAGGAACAATAATTTAGTAAAATGTGTCAAAAACATTGGCAACGGTTTATACAAATTCTTTATTTAATAACAATTTTCCTATTTAACCACACCAAGTACCAGCAGGTGTATTTAAGAAGATAACCATTAAGAAAATCCTGTTGCAGCCAGAGTTGATTAAGTTGATCTTTGACTTGTATACATATAACTATTTGTTTCACAATTCTCAAATAATACATATTTAGGCAGCTTGCACTATGTTATAAAAATTTTTAATTCATTACATGCCAATAGTAGAGAATTCAAGAATTAGGTGCTAGAATTCACTAAACTAAAAGTGAAAATAGACTTACCAGTAACACTGCGTAATGAATAATCCACCACATTTTCATGGCACCTTTAACTGTGGAGACCAGAATGTCTGGGAAGTTTTGGGAGGCATAGATAGCGATGAAATCTAACAAAACCTGAACAAATTCTATTTTACGTGAGAATCAAATTATGGATTGTACAGGAGTATGCTTGTCATGAAAATGTGGTACTTCTTGGCATAATCTGTGTATTTGCATGGTCTGACAGAAGTGGCTAAGAAGTCGTAGATAATAGACTTTAATGTGATTCTCCATTCAACGAGGCTTCTCCCCTGGGCGAGGATGACCTGGACACACCCCGCTCCGTGTTATCGGAGCTGGAGCCACTCTGGCTGTGCTGATCTGCGGATGCCGCACTGGATGCTGGCGGCGACTTCGTTTTCTCCTTAAAGTCTGTAATAATGACTGTCAGATCCCCAACGGTGACTTCCAGGTGCTGGGCACTACTCCGATCCACATTTTTCAATCTGGGCCTAGATACAACAGATGATGAAATTTTATTTTACTTTATTATTTTAAAAGATTTATCTTTATTTTTTTAAATAAAATAAAGAACTGGGATGTGGGCCAGAGGTGTGGGGGAGGGGGGTAGAGAGGGGAGTTGGGTAAAGAGACGTTGTGTTAGAGGATGCACCAGAGACAGAGTGGGGAGCAGAACAGGTGGATTCACTGAAATCCACTGCTGGGGGGAGCAGCAGGCGAGACAGGAGAGGTCTACTGTGCCATGTGGGTCAGCTCTCTGGCTGGGGTTTCAAACTCAGGCTGTAGGGGTAACAGTGCTGAGACTCAGCCCTCTAGACTATAAGGGAGGCCCCAATGATGAAATTTAAAACTAGGTTTTCTCTCAACCAATGTTCTGAGCATAGTGCAAATTAGAAATTAGGTAAAAACAGAAAGAACACCTTGATGGCTAGAGCTGGAGATCCATGTGTAACACAAACACAGTTGTCTCAAATCTTTAGCAATCAAGTTGCTCATTCATGAATCTTCATTGTAACAAACTACAAGACTCTGGAAACAATGGTCTCTTTGTGTTTTCACAGGTTTATGATAATTTTACAGAAAGCTTACCAATTACATTAAAATAAATGTTTCTGAACAACTAAGAAGCATTGCATGCCAGTTATGGCCAAGGTCACAGGGCTGTCACACCTTGCTGTGCACAGGTCACAGCATCGCAGCCTTCTGGTTTGCCTGGACTCATGACCATGTTGATTAAACCATATGCTCAATATTTACTAACAATAAAACCCTATGAAAATGCCTGTTCAATACTTTGACTATCAATCATATAGAGATAAAAATAAAACAGTTCAAACACGACATTTTTCTGAAGTAAAAAACAGGAAGCATCCTTATATTTAAGCTTATTTTTGTATTTGTAGACTCTGTTTAAACTACCTTTCATACTCTGAAAAATGCTTTAATGACACTCTGTAACATAAGAGATGTAATCTTCAACTTAAATTTTGCATATATCAGTGTAAAGAGAATAATGGTTTTATGGTCATAAAACATTCTTAAAATTTACCTGGTTTTCTTGTGACTATTCTTTTTGCTAGTTGTTTCCTTTTCACTTTTTTCTTTGTCTACTTTATCTTTTTTCTCTTTCTTTGACTGTGTAGGGGGCACAAACTGCTGAGTAACTTGTTGCGCAACCAACTGGGACACTGGCCGAGGTTTCCTGTGTGCATGTTAAAAAGAGAAGCGATTTCATGATTATGACTTCAGAATATCTATTTTTATGAGAAAAAACCTCAAATTACAATAACAGATATACATTACGGTCTCTAAGAAAAAATTCCCCCGTGTGCATGTGCAAGTGTGCAAATTCCCTTTCCTATCCAAGAAAAAAATAGAACTCTTTGCACTTAACATTAGTCTAAGATTTATGATCAAAATGAAGATAATTATTACTCAAATCAGCTTGAAAATTATTAAAAATGTATTATCAAACAATGCTCACAGGGAAACTCACATAAACATGAATTTAAAAAATAAACCTTGAAGTTTATACTTAAATAGCATTTAGATTTACTCTCCACCCCCCAGAAGGAACTGCCTAACCATCTGTGACGATAGCTGTGTGTTCTCACCTTTAAATCTTTCATATATTCATTTAAGAAGTATTTATGGAGTGTCAAAAAATCTCACTCCTTATTGCTCAAATCCTTGAGGTTTATATCTCTAGCCACAATCTCATCAGGCTTTTTCGGACCTTGGAGACCTTTAAGACATGCTTACTCATTTAAAACATATTCACTGGATTACAAATGAGATGGGCAAAAGCACAAAATGATGTAAACATATTACATTATTTAAAAAAAAAACATATTCACTGGGAATTCTGCACAGGAATATGTGCAAAGGTGCCTGTCTTCACAACTTGTGCCAGCACACTTGGTCAAGGGTCAAGAGTGGAACTTAAAATTTCAACCTTATAGTGGAACTTAAGTCAACTGAGGCCCAGAGTCAATGTAAATCGTCACTAAGTTCTTAAAACAAGAAAGAAGACTACAGAGTGGAAAGGAATGGGAGAGGAAAAGTGAGGGAGAATAAGATAAAAATACATTTTAACAGATGATCTACAACTACTACTGTTAGTTGTATTGTCTGGGAAATGCTGGCCCTGTTTTGGTTTGTAGAATTTAAAAAAAAAAATCTTTATTTTTTGGGTCCTTTACAGCAAGACCAAATAGAAAACAATGAGAAAATACTGTTCAATTTACAATTCAAATATTGCAAGGAGGTATCCTTTGAAGGAGGAAATAGGAAACCATATGTAAAACAAATTTTGGAGATGATGATTTTCCATCTGGATAAAGAAGATATCCAAAACCAGATGTCCAATACCCAATTTTAAAAAGAGGACTAACTTAGAAGGCAAAATTAAAGCTACAAATTGTGTTAAAGATGCAAATTAAGAATTGCACACATGAAAATGACAGTGAATGCATGGCAATTAATTGAGGAGCTTGCAAAATCACTATTTTTAAAGGCAGAAAATTTTCATCCAAAAGGCTTGGCAGTGTGGTGAACTCTTCTCTTCCTTTCTTTTTATCGTGGTCACATTGTTTTACAACTCTACACATGATTCAGAGCCCATGAGCACCCCACACCCATCCAGACACCCACCGTCCTCCACAACAGTCTACTGTGCCCAAAACAGGAACAAAGGACAGGGGGCTCTCAATCCCGCCAGATAAGCTCTTCCATTTCCTTGATGGCAAAGCTAGTGGTGTTCACCCAGACCCCAGACAGGATAGGTGGCCCTGCCCACTCCCCTTTCTTGTCCTTGTTGCTGGGTACGCACCCCTGGCCTCTGCCCAACAGCGAGACAGGGGTCTTTCAGACACACATTTGCTGCCTCGCCCTGCTCAATTTGCAGACACATTAAACTACTTTCCCTTTCCTCAAATTGTTTCTTTTTACTGGCCAAGGGAAACCTGAAACCAGAATTGGGTATCTTGACCTCTCTCTCTCTACTTTGCTCTCCCCCAAACCTTTGGAGCCTCAGTTCTACAATCAGATTTCTAGGATTTTTAATTGACTTGGTTTCATATGACTCTTTGTTTTTTGTCTGTATATTCCACATAGAAAAGAAGGGTATAGAAAAGAAGGGTATAGAAAAGAAGGGTTAAAGCAGTGGTTCTCAGACTTAAGATATCTCAGATACAAGGTATCAGGATCACCTGGAAAGCTTGTTTAGCTTGCTCAGCCCTACTCCCAATGGTTTCTAAATTCAGCAGGCCTTGGGGCTTGAGTCCCAGAATTTGCATTTCTAATTAGCTTCCAAATTATGCTAATACTTCTGGTTTGGTGACTAGACTTTGAAAAGAAGTTTGAAATAGGAGGTACATTACTGGTACTACGGCAGCATAAAACTTAAGAAGGGCAGGGAGTGGCAGAGAATGAAAACACAAAAAGTCTGGACAGAGAGGAAAAGGCCTGAAAGTGGAAAGCTGGGGCGTAGGCTTTACACTTAGAACACTGAAGGTCAATAAAGAAATTGAGACGTGAATTTTACTAAGATTACTGGCAGCAATCCAAGGGACAGAAGGACTAGAGACAGGGAAACTGTACAGAAACTAATAGACCAGGCAAAACCAAAACAGGCTAGAGTTAAGGCAGCAGCAGTTTTAAGCAGTGGCTGCTTAAAACAGGTTGAAGCTGCAAAATGGAGTGGACATGGCACATAATTAAATGTGCTTGTCTTACTTCTCAACCAACAAAGTCTCCCTCAGCACAACAAACAGAATCCCCTCAGGTAGTAAACATCCTGTCAGTGGGACCCAACAAAATACAGGGTATTGGATGTTGGTAAGGGCTAGGAGAAAAATGAGAAACATAATTAGTATTGGGAAAGGACTTGTAATTTTGTTTCCTCTTCTAGACTATACACTGCACAAAGAAAGGAAAGCTATCAGCTTTAAGCACCAAAATACAAATAGCACTTAGCACTGTACTGAAAAAATACTCAGTATTTAATGTATAATTGTTGCAAAAAGAATAAAAATCAAAGTTCATAATGATTATTATTATTATTTATTTATTTTTTTTTTTAAAGAAAACTACTCGGGGGAAGTGCACAGGACTATGGTGATGGCACACAGGTAAACTGGTGATGGGAAGCCCACAGAGATTACAGCCGAGATGAAAAAAGGCACAAAATGATGCAAAAATAAGCTATTATAATAAAAAACAAAAGAAAAGTACTACTACCTCTAAGTTTAGTCACTGGCATGATCAAGATCACTACTCACTACACAAAGAAGAAACAGAGGAAGGAAGAGCAACAAGAATTAGTGACTCTTAGTCATTTGGGATATGGGAAGAGAAAGAAAGCTGAAAGATGTAACAGGGTAGAGAAGAAAAGATTTGTTAAGATGAGCATCCAGTGAGTGAGTCACCTGAAACTGAAAGCCTCTCCAACATGGGAATGCAACGGCAGGGTAGGATCAATCTGGGTCTACACAGGAACCTCCTCCTTGTTAACAGAGGACTCACAATTTCCTTTGTTAATTTTGTCAAGTCATTCCCTCCATTCCAAAATTTAATGCAAAATGAATATCCAAAAATGTTAGTGTATTATACTGAATTATACTAAAATTACAACATTAAAATAAATTTATATTCCTTGGAACCTAAAGCCAAACCTTGATATTTTTAGTAATTAATCAATAAATTGCTGAGTAGCCATTATTAGCTAATTTCAGATACTTTATAGTCTCTTTCATTTAATGCTGCCTTTGGTAAATTTGGTATTTTTCTAAGTATTCTGGATTCATTAATAATCTCAATACCCCGGTTGTTTTTCCCATTAAAGTGGAAATAATTTGACAATTCAACCACAGATTATTTAATCATGGAGATTATAGAAAGTAACATTGTGCTCTGGGGTTAGGTGCAAGTGTTTTTATCACATGATCCACCCCCAGGTTCTGTCTCCCTGTTGGCACCTGTTAAATTACCTGATACTGTTCCTTAACCCCTCACTCCTGCTCTGTGTCAGAAAGGGCCAGCCCCCAACTTCTGTCAATACCATAACTGTTGCCAGATATTTTTCATATTTAACAAGTTTTATTCCTCCAGAATCTTCTTAAAATTGCTTTGCCTTTTTATATATAGCACAGCAATTTGAAAATGAAAGCATTAGAGCATAATTTGCTTTCCAAAAACTCTGAGCTTGAGTTCAATGATTTATTTTCAAATGGATTATGAATCCTTCTAACCATTCTACTCTTAGCGTGAATATGCTGAGTAAAAATGCCTGTCCAACAAGGCAAAATCACTGCTGAAAAAGGAATTAGGTAAACTAGTCCAATAAGCAATGTGGCATCAGGAGAAAGCATGATGACACTAGAAACGAGGTCGGTCCTAACAATGATGGCCCCCAGGATGTGATCAGGGTTACAGAAGTGAAGCAGTTATGTAGATGACATTGCAGACAAGTGGAAAAAAAAAAAACCCGATATTTTTGTGGATGACTAGGATAAAGAATTGCCCCCAAAGAAATACTAAAGGACGTAGGGGAATGTTTTATGGATGGAATGCTTATATCTCCAAAATTTGTATACTGAAGTCCCTGCCTCCTATTTATGGTATTTATATAGTAGTTCAACTGAACTAAGACAGGCAGGTCAGAAAGCCAAGAACGGGCCCACTTTAAATAGAGGGCTGAGGACCCTAGTGCTGGCTGTGTTTGGTTCGGAGATTCTACAGAGTAGTGGTCTGGTAAGTAGACTTGCAATCTCTGTACCTAGTGCTGTCTGATGATTTTGTTACTTTTTAAAAATAATATAATAGCTTATTTTTATATCATTTTGTGCCTGTGTCCATCTCAGTTGTAATCCCCACAGGCTTCCCATAACCAAGTCACCCATGGGCAATCACCATAGTCCAGTGCATTTCCCCCTCCCCTGTTTTTGGTCCCATTCCCCACTCCACCCCTGAAAAATGTCTCTGGTATATAGTTGCTCATAATTATTATTATTCCCCCCCACCCCCGGTCCTTTATGCCCCTGCTATGAGTGAAACCATCTGGTATTTTTCCTTTTCTTTCTGGCTTATTTCACTGAGCATGATCCATTCCAGCTCCATCCATGTTGCTGCAAAAGGCATGAGTTTATCTTTTTTGATTGCTGAGTAATATTCCATTGTGGATATGTACCACATCTTTTTAAT